TGTGTGAGATACATCCTTTGTCATTTCAATCTGTAGATAGAACTTTTGTTTACCTCAGGCAACAGTTTATTATTAGATAGAACTTTTGTTTACCTCAGGCAACAGTTTATTATTAGATAGAACTTTTGTTTACCTCGGGCAACAGTTTATTATTAGATAGAACTTTTGTTTACCTCAGGCAACAGTTTATTATAAGATAGAACTTTTGTTTACCTCAGGCAACAGTTTATTATTAGATAGAACTTTTGTTTACCTCAGGCAACAGTTTATTATTAGATAGAACTTTTGTTTACCTCAGGCAACAGTTTATTATTAGATAGAACTTTTGTTTACCTCAGGCAACAGTTTATTATTTCTACAGTACAGTTCTTCCAATAAAAGACTTTAGTACTTATATGTCAAATGCATGCTATAGATTTTATTAGAATTTATTATTTAAACCATGTGACGCTTGGTACTGTCAGTTACCATTTGTGCTTTAGTGGAATGCTCCTGCAGAACATGTAAAGTGAAATGTTGAGTGTCTAATTTGAGAAAAAATAAAATATTTGGTGTTCTAAGATTGTTCATTACTAATATCAAAATATCTTTGATACATCAATATGCACTACAAAAAATTTAATAAAGAGGTACGTACACTGTTTTTTTATGTTGAGTCTAAATATTGTATTCACTGTCATTTCTACGTGTCCAATATGTTTATTCCTCACACAAAAATTCAGTCAAGTTATCAATTACAGAACAATCGCTGTATTTCTTCACTGAATCTACTGTTATTTGCGGGTTTGCCTGCAATACTTGACAGGAAACTGGTTTTACCTGAAAATACCACATTAGGTGGTATTAGTTCCAGACAAACAGTATGTTGTGTATGTTAAGTGATAAACTTTCAAACAAACAATATGTTATGTATATTAGGTGATATAATTCCAGACAAACAATGTTGTATGTTAAGTGGTAAAATTTCAAACAATGTGTTGTACGTGTCAAATTGTATAGTTCCAGACAAACAGTATGTTAAGTGGTAAACTTTCAGACAAACAATATGTTGTGTATGTTAGATAGTATAGTTCTAGATATACAGTATGCTGTGTATGTTAGATGGTATAGTTCTAGACAAACTGTATGTTGCTATACCATCTAACATACAAAACATTGTTTGTCTGGAACTATACCATCTAACATACACACTTTGTCTAGAACTATACCATCTAACATTCAGTTTGTCTGGAACTATACCATCTAACATACACAACATACAGTTTGTCTGGAACTATACCATCTAACATGCAGTTTGTCTGGAACTATACCATCTAACATACACTTTGTCTGGAACTATACCATCTAACATACACTTTGTCTAGAATTAGATGGTATAGTTCCAGAATCTAACATGCAGTTTGGTCTGGAACTATACCGTGTATGTTAGATGGTATAGTTCCAGACAAACTGTATGTTGTGTATGTTAGATGGTATAGTTCCAGACAAACTGAATGTTAGATGGTATAGTTCCAGACAAAGTGTATGTTAGATGGTATAGTTCCAGACAAACTGTATGTTAGATGGTATAGTTCCAGACAAAGTGTATGTTAGATGGTATAGTTCCAGACAAACTGCATGTTAGATGGTATACTTCTAGACAAACTGTATGTTAGATGGTATAGTTCCAGACAAACTGTATGTTAGATGGTATAGTTCCAGACAAACTGTATGTTAGATGGTATAGTTCCAGACAAACTGTATGTTAGATGGTATAGTT